GCGGAGGTGGGGAAGAGACAGAAATCTTTAATAAATTAAAATATATATATATATAAATATATATATATGTAGACCTATTTATCAAGAATGTTACCTACAGGTCAATCATACTTCAGCAATCTATGGGAAGAAAAATTTGTGGGTGTTAAAATGATATGACCTTCTTGAAGAAAAATGTAGTAGTAGATGTGTCTATTTACTATACTGTATTCTAGGCAGCTGTGCTGAAGAAATAAAAACCAATTGAAAAGCAAATAAAAAAAGATGATGCAATGATGTTTTAATTTAAAACCATGTTGGAGAAATTCTGTAAAGTTTATCAGTGGAGCTTCTTATAAATGGGTTTTACTTATCTTTTAAACTCTGCCTTTGAGAACTTGTTATTTCTTCAGGTTTCCTCAGCATTGAGCCTAGACTGAAACCAATCCTCTCAAGGATAAGATTGCAGTCTTATCCCCATAGGAAGAGGATAATCTCAAGCCATAGTCATCTAGGAACAGAGGATGCCAGTTGAGGAATTGCTTGCTTACGAATGTCCTATAGGCAAATCTGTAGGGGCATTTTCTTAATTAAAAATTGATTGTGAGGGCTTTGCCCAATGTGGGTGATGCCATCTTTAGATGAGTGGTCTTGAGTTCTATAAAAAAATCAGGCTACACCTGGAGCCTGGAAGCAAGCTAGTAAGCTGATTCTTCTGTGGTCTCTGTTTAGTTTCTGTCTCTAGCTTCCAGCATTGAGTTCCTGCCTTGGCTGCTCTGATGGACAGTAACCTATAAGCCAAATAAACTCTTTCCTACTCAAGCTTGTTTCAGTTGGTGTTTTATCACAGCTATACAAAAGCAAACTAGGACACAGAATCCTGTTGTATCTTGTTTGTGAAATGTTTCTTGCTTCTGTTTTTTGAAATGCTGTTTCCTTGAAGGCTTATGGTAACAATCTTTCTAATTTCCATCTTAGATTCAGTGGGTAGAAGATATTTGGAAAGTCTGCCAGTTGATTTATTGGACTTTTTTTTTTGTTTGTTTGTTTCTCTGCCTCTTATACAGACTGTTTTCAATATGAGTTAAATTTTTAGAAATTTACATTTTTAGACATACTGATTATTTTCTGTTAGTATTTAAATGGGTTAAGTTATATAATCTAAAAGCACTACAATCTAAATTGTGTTACAATTTCTAATTATTTACACTGGGATTTCTTAAGACTTTCTTTGTATATAATAAAACTTACTATAATAAATTTTTAAAAACTAACTTGATATTTATAAAGTCTTAACATTCTCCATTCTTCTAAACATGTAATATTGAATTCTCCTTAGGACTTTTGCTCCAAGGAATTAGTTTCCTCTGTCTGGATCATGTAGTTAAAATGAATTATCATCATGAGACACTTGGGTCTTTAATAAAGAAAAATTGACAGTGTCCTTGCAGTGTTTTATTTGTCAATTAAGAGCATTAAGAGAAAGGTTTTAATTAAACAGAACTCAGTCATTTGTCAGGAGCAAGTATTAAACTCTTTAAGGACCACATGGGTTTCTGTGGCATCTGTTGCAATGCCCCCTTCTGCCTCTGCTTTTATTCATTTTGATCTGTGTTCTTTCTTTTGCTTAGTTTGGTAAAGGAATAATGTGTTTTTTTTATCTCTTCAAAGAAATGATTTTTTTGTTTTATTGATCCTTTGTATTGTTCTTTTATTTCCTATTTCACTTATTTTAGTTTTTTACTTCATTATTTTTTTCTTTTAATTGATTTTTTTTTTTGGCTCTCTGTCTTTGAAGTGCTGTGGTGGTGCTTTTATTGCACAGATTTCATTTGGTTCTAGGAATAGGTAAATTTCCTCTGTTATTTCTTCCAGGACATAGGTTGTCTGAAAATGTATCACTCAATCTCCTTATGTCTGAAAATGTATCACTCAATCTCCTTATGTTTGTATAGCTTCAGGTTTTAATTCTGTTATGAAGTAGTCAAGAAACTATTACAGGATGTTTCTTAGGTGTTGGTTTTGCCCTTATATGTGGTGCAGTTCTGAGAAAGTCTCATGAGATGATGAAAAGAGTTTTGATGTATTGTTTAACTAGCTTATATATTTATCTTTTTTTATTTCAGGTGGGATGGAGATTAGAGCATTTGTTTTTTTTTTCAATCTTTTGTTATCTTTCTCTGTTACATACTATCATCCATTTTCTCATTAAGAAGGCCATATGTGATTTCTGTTTACCATACACATTCAAGTCAGCAAACCTATTGGGTACATCTCCGACACAGCCTACTATCTGTTATGTAATGTTTCCTCTGTCTCCTGCTTCTGCTTTAATATAAGCTAACATTACCCTTTACCTGTTCTGTTTCCAGAGTTTTTGCCTATTTCCATCTACTTTCCTCTGGGAGCCTAGATAGAGCTTTAAAAATATGAGTTACATAATTCCATTCTTCTCCTTAAAATCCTGCACATATTTTTACTGTAGTGTGAAAAATACATACAGGTCCTTCATTTTTAACCTACCTGTACAGGAATAAGAATTTTATCTCCTTTTTGCAGATGCATTTGACTACTTACTCACCTCTGACATCTGTGCAAGACTACATGTCACCTATGTTTTGATGCAGTGACCTAGAACTAGATCTTGCTTCTGCACAGATTGCATGTGCTTAGAATTTTTTTCATAATCTATACTGACGTTTCATTTATATTTTAATAAATATAGCTTGCTGAAGTTCAGAGAGTAAAACAGCCATACTTATCAGCGTTATAGACCAGGCAGTGATGACACACACCTTTAATCCCAGTACCCATACTAGTTTGCCATAGAAACTGGGCAGTAGTGGTGCACACCTTTAATCCAAGCTCTAGAGAGGAATATAAACAGGAGGAGATGGCTTTCTGACACAGTTTCATTTTGAGATTCCTGGAGACAGGGTTGCCATTTTGGACTGAGGTCTAGGTAAGAGCCAGAACAGAGACTTTTGCTTTTCTGACCTTCAGGTTGAACCCCAGTTTCTGTCTCTGGGTTTTTATTAATTGTGCTACAATGGCAAGTTTTCTAACACTTTATTTTCAAATTAGAAAAGCTAAAATAATATTTCCATCCTATTCCTTTTAATTGCACTGCCAATTCAATTTCATTTGTGTGAACATTTGAAAAAATTTGGTTGTTTTCATTATAGAACATTTTTCTATCATATTAGAATGTAAAATACATGAGAACAGATTATTTTTTTGATGGTCTTAACCATTTGGCCAGATTGTGGTTTTTTGATATATTCAACAAATATTTACTGAATGAATGATCATGCTATGTGCCTTGTTTGAAAAAGGGCAAACAAGTGTGGTTGGAGGCTGCTTATTTGTTTTCTGGCCGCTCAGACCCAGAATAACCACACAAAACTATATTAAGATCAATACTCCTTGACCAGTATCTTAAGCATATTTCTGGCTAACTCTTATATCTTAAATTGGCCCATTCTCATTATTTTATATGTTACCACAAGCTCCTGCTTGACTGGATTTTAAAGAAATAAATAGTGATTACTTAGGGAACTATAGGAAATATGAACTCACCTGTGGGCTTGAACTTGAATGATAGCTTCCAAGGGTTGGGAAAGGCTTTTGGGGCAGTGCAAAGGCACAAAGTGTTGCAGGAGCTGCGGGTTGCATTCCGCCACCCAGCTTTCGCCACCGGCTAGCTTTACCCAAAATAACAACACACAAACTGTATTCATATAAACACTGCTTGGCCCATTATATCTAGCCTCTTCTTGGCTAACTTTCACACCTGGACTAGCCCATTTCTAATAATGTGTGTAGCACCCCAAGGTGCGCTTACCGGGAAGATTCTAGCCCTCGTCCATCCTGGGTCGGAGCTTCATGGTGTCTGCCTGGGAGAGAGCTGCATGGTGTCTGAGCTCACTTCCTCTTCCTCCCAGCATTCTGTTCTGTTTACTCCACCCACCTATGTTCTAAACTATCAGGGCCAATCAGTTTCTTTTTTAACCAATGACCTTCCTCTCTTTGACTTTGATATTAAAGCTGGTGTCTCCCCTCTTCTAAGTCTTGTCATTGGCTCTCTCCAGTTTATTCCTTATTTTACATCACTTGTGCATTCTGTTACTTTTCAAACCTTCACTTTTTGTTGTTGTTGTTTTTTTTTAACTAAAAAGTTGTAATAATAGTGTACCATAGAATTTTTCTGGAGGTTAAATAAAGGAATAGTATTAAAGTCCTTATAACTGTACATGTTGTATTATAAACTATATGAAGTCTGGTTTGTCTATTCACAAAATTTAATGTTTTCTTCTAAAGTTTGATTTTTTTATATCACAAAATATTAAAATATTGAAAACCTATCCAAATAATGAAATAGAATTTCCTATTGTTTTCTTTCTCCAGGTGACTTTTTGTTTTGTTTTATTTTCTAAAAGTTTCTTAAAGAAGGGTTTCACTGTACACTCGCTGACCTTGACTCTTCTTCGCCCTCTGCAGTGCTAGTAACATGTATATGCTAGTGCCTGTTTTACCTTCATAGACTGTCATGATACAATTCGGAAGTAGTTTGAATTTTGAAGGATATGTATTATTTTATAGTTAAAAAATTATATTATTTTGTGTATTGAGAAGTTATTTGGTCAAATATTTTATATATATATGTTTAGAATCATATTTTCATATTTGGAGTGTTGTAATTTCCAAATTAGAACTGGGCTGTAGTTATGGTGCTTCTCAGCTGTGTGCACTTTGAAATGCAGGATGCACTGAGAAACTGAGCTGTCTGTTGTGGTAGATGTCATGCACGCTTGTCATCATGTTGTTAACCATAGAGACTTAGTGTTTATATTCAATACTTTGAGTCATTTATATTTAATTTATAATATCATGTCCCTACCTTATTTTAGATTGGACAGTTGGCTTTTAAAGGAATGAAGAGACTCAATAGAATCCAGTCCATAGTGTTTGAGACTGCTTACAACACCAATGAGAACATGCTGATTTGTGCCCCTACCGGAGCTGGGAAGACCAATATTGCGATGCTTACGGTTTTACATGAAATCCGGCAACACTTTCAAAAAGGTGTTATTAAAAAGAATGAGTTTAAGGTAGGAGAATATAAATCAGACAACAGTTCTTTATTCCTTTTTGAGTGTAGATGTTAAGATAAACCTTCAATTCTAAAAATCCTGTAAATTCTTAAAGATTGATGTGGGATTCCCCTCTGTATGTTATGAATATGTTTTATTACCATTGGTTAAAAAGAAGCTGCTTCAGCTTATGGCGGGGCAGAATATAGCCAGGCTGGAAGAGATAAGAGGGAGAGAGTAGGCAGAATCAGTGAGATGCCAGTTAGCTGTCAGGTGAGTAACATGCGGCCACCATTAAGCCACAGCCTAGTGGCAATACACAGATTAATAGAAATGGGTTAACTTAAGATGTAAAATTAATTAATAAGAAGCCTGAGCTAATAGGCCAAGCAGTGTTGCAATTAATATAGTTTCTGTGTGATTATTTGGGTCTGGGTGGCTGGGAACAAAAGAGCAGTCTCTGTTTACAGAAGATATTTGTTATAGTAAATGTCATATAAAGAATGTTGTGTGATTGACTTCTTTACTATAAAGGCAGTCCTATTTCTGCTTTGAAATCTCATTACCCTTGAGGAAAGGCATGAAAATATTTTACGTTTTGACACAGAGCCCATTTTTTAAGTAATGAGGCAGTATAAACAAATTCCATTGTCCTTTTATTTAAAGGACAATATTTTATTTATTTAAATAAGTATGTGCTTAATTCAGCAAAGATAAGTACTTTCCATATATCATTATTAACATTTTTCACAGGAAGTAACTAGGATCATATTTCACAATAAATTGTGACTTGCATTGGCTACTGTGAAATAATGGTATTGTAATTTTTCTCATTCATCAAGCTAGTGTTTGTTTGGTACAGATTGTGTATGTTGCTCCAATGAAAGCCTTGGCAGCTGAAATGACAAATTACTTCAGCAAACGTCTTGAGCCACTCGGCATCGTTGTGAAAGAACTGACTGGAGATATGCAGTTATCAAAAAGTGAAATTTTAAAAACTCAGGTATGTTTTTCAACCACATCTTTTTATATTGTTCATTTTTAAGGTTATGAAATTGTTGTACAACTTAATTTAACATAATACAAACACAGTGTAACAAATTTATTTATGACACTAAATACATCTTTACTAAAGACAATTATTAATGTTGCTTTATTAGTCTTTCATAGCCTTCTTTTGCGATTCTTAACATTCTGAATATTATTTCCAAGCATAGAGTTTATGTCTCTTGACAGTTTTTGTAGCATTGGGGATGAGAATCTGGGGGTAAGATTGTAGTTGAATATTAAGAGGAAGCATTGCAGAGATCTTGAAGTAATCACACTAGACTTTTAGCCTATTTGTTAAGGATAGAATAGCATAGAATAAGAAATTTTAGACATTTAATATTTTCAAATGAGAATTTATTAATGTCTGTCCCCTTATATGAGTCTCTTCTCTCACATAAAAGTCTTTTCTAACTATATTTATGGTAGAGTGCATTATATTTTTCTATAGTTAACTGGAATTGTTTGATGTTTTCTGATTTTTCTTCTAGTTCTTAAAGTTTAGTAGTAGCTTTTCATTAATACATTCTTTGATATTTTTCACAAGATTTTGTGTTACCTCAATGAACATTTTGCTATCCTGTTACGTTTAGGGTGCTTACTATCTGTCTGTTAGTGACACTTCTTTCAGTTCTTTACAAAATTATCTCTTTATATTTATTCCGTGTACTTTAGGGGGATGACTAAATACAAGATAGTCCTTTCTTAAAGTGGCATTTTGACTACCTTCTTTCCTCACTGGGTCATATTACTTGGCATCATTAAGTAATTTATTTGAAATCTCTCTAGTTTTTGTTTTCAATGTGAATACAACTATGGATGGTCCTCTTATAACTCTTCCTGTATTCCAGAGAACATGGTATATTCTTATTCTTAGTTGATTCTAGGAACTTTTCGAATTTTATCCTGATTTCTGTTTAGTCTACAAATATTTCTGTATCTTTTTTATTCATTTTGCTACTGATTTCTAGCTTTACTCCATTGTGGTCTGATAGGAAGGCAAGGAGCTATTTCAATTTTTTTTTCTTTATGGCCTATAATGTCAGTTTTAGAGAATGTATATTTCCTATATGTTTAGTGGAATGTTCTATAAATACCTATTAAGTACATTTTTTTCTGTGATCTGATATAACTCTAAGGTTTCCTTGCTAATTTTTTTCTTCTGTTTGTTTTTATTTTTGTTATTACATCTCAGCATCAGTTTCCCGTCGCTCCTCCCCTCCCAATCCCTCATCTGCACACCACCCTCATCCTCTACTCCTCTGTTTCTCTTCAGAAAAAGGCAGGCCCCCAACCGTGGGTATCAATCAGCCATGGCTAATTTTTTAATGAGGAAGATAAGTCACATAATATTAGCAGGCTCTTGAAGGCTTTCATTTTTGTGTCTGGGCTTATTTGGTCCTCTACATTTCTCATTCTGTATGTTATAAAATTGAGAGCTGAGAGTCAGGTGTTAATATTTGCGATTATTACACTTTGCTTAATTATTCTTTTTATCATTGTTTAGTGGTACTTTTCCCCATTTTATAACTTAGTTTGGTTTGAAGTCTACTTTATCAGGTATGAGAATGGCTATTGTACCATTTTTTCTGAGGCTTCCGCTTATTTCATAGTTGCATTTCCAGCTATTGACTGTCAGCTGGTAAGTATATTTCTTATGTGAATTTCTTGGAGACAGGAGGTAGTTGTATTATATTTTTTCATCTGTCCCATTAGTTGAGTCCTTTAATGGATGGGTTTAAGCCATTTTTCTTTCAAGATTATAATTGAGAAGACTTTCCTGATTTTATTTGTTGCATTGTTTTTGGAGGGAATTTGCTAGTTCTTTTCTTCCTTTCTTGGTAATGTTGAATGTTTATTGCTTTGCTGTATTGCATGATTCCTTTCCAAGTATCCTTTGTTCATCTATTGCTTTCATGGAATGTATTCTTTCCTGTGGTCTCTTGTTTGAAATTCCCTCCTCCTCTCCCTCCTTTCTCCTCTTTCTTCTCTTCTTCCTCCCACACATCTTTTTTCCTTTGCTTTCTTCTCTTCTCTCTTTACCCTTCTTCTTCCTCATGTGTGTATGTGTGTGATATTGTGTGTGTGTGTGTGTGAGAGAGAGAGAGAGAGAGAGAGAGAGAGAGAGAGAGAGAGAGAGAGAAAGAGAGAGAGAGAGAATTTTATACAGTGCTGGCATAGTTGTCATGAATTTTCTTGTTTTTCTAAAATTATTTTTACTTTTTTTATTTATTTTAATAGTTATTTTTGCTGGGTATAGCAGTGGGCCAATTTCAGGTTTTAGTTTAAAGAGATTGTGAGGCTTATGACTAACATTGTTCCCTTTCTGTGTAAGCTGAGGATAACATCATTACATCTACATTACTAGAATTCTAAAATGGAGGTTTCTTCTTTTTTGAGTTTAGGTCTTGCTTTGCAGTCTATTCTAGGATTGAACGGAATTCTCAGTTCTTCTGCTCAGTCCCCCAAGTGCCTGTATTACAAATGTTTGCTACCATACTGATGTTTATGTGCATCTTATATTACCAAATCTATCATATCTATATCTATCCATAATTCTTTTAGTAGCTGTTTGCTAGCTCTGCAAAATGTAAAATTTGGAGCAGGGGCGTGACTCAATGTGTGAGGATCTGAGATTGCATCCCCAGTATCCATGTAAGTCAGGTCTATAGTTCCTTTAGTAGTGTTGGTGCCGTTGGTGATGATCATGCTGGAAAGGGTGAAATGAGGGTGGAGTTAATAATGGTAAAAACTATGAGCTGGTAAATTTTTATGAGCTAATGCATTTATTCTTCACCACAAACCTGAAATTTAGGTACAGTCCTCATTTTACAGATGAGACAGAAGGAATTTAAGCATGTTTTCATAGAATGTTCTACTGAATACTATGTGAAGACACAAACAATTAAGTCTAACTGTATAGTCCATTTTATAATAACTACTTTGCAATGCTACAGTAATACAGATACTTCAGATTGTATGCTTGAGTCCTTGAAGTATTTGATATTCATCTTCCAAAAATGTTATCTGCAGTTAATTTAGGTGTTTGTAATCTGAGCACATCAAAGGCAAGGGTATTGCAAGTTCAAGTCTAGCATAGTTTCCCATTTGTATTGTTCTCAGAGACTAGATCATATTGGTATTATGTAGTGTGATCTTTTGTGGCAGGATACATGATAAATAGTGGTTACATTGTAGGAGAGTGAAATGGGGAAGGCATGAGGGAAGCTTTATCTACAATCTTCCTATGTAATTCATGGTTTTTTTCTTATCATCATACATTTTCTAAAATAAAACTAATGAACAAGCACGTTTCCCTAGTTGTTGTGAACAGTCATCTCAATAGATTGCTCTTGTAGTTGGTTATGCGAGAATGACACTTTTCATTGAGGATCTGCTTAGTCTGTTCTTCACCATGTACTGATTTTTCTTTTTAAAACATGTCAAGAAAGCTTAAAGCTGCAGATTCTACATTGACTCATTTAGTGGAGGGGCTATGAATGTTTGCTGTATGTACACATATTTAGAACAAGCAAATACAGAGGAAGATGTCGTGTGTCATTTTTTTCTACTCGCCTCTTTAGTCTTACTGTAACCTGACTCTCTTTCAACTAGGCTAATGGCCAGTAAAGTCTAGGATTGAGCTGTCTACCCTGCCCAGTGCTGCATCACATGGAGCTTGCCATTCCTGTCTTTTCATGTGGCTGTTAGGGTTTGGTGTTGAGCTCTTCTGCTTTCACAGCAAGCTCTCTATTCCCTGAGTGGCCATCTACCCATTTCTAGAAGCATTCCTAATATATGCTTCAAAACTAATAACAAATAATGAGTTTCTTTTTCATTATTTTGAGTTTCATAGATTGTAACAAATGGAAAAGACCAAAGATAAAAATTCAGGAATATGAATTGCTATTGGTCTATAAGCAAAGGCCGCTTGTTCATTTCTTAGCCACCCAGACTGGAAATAATCACGCAGAAACTGTATTTTTACAACAGTGCTTGGCCTATCAGCTCACGCTTCTTATTGGCTAGATCTTATATCTTAAAATAACTCATTAATATGTATATTGCCATGTGGTTGTTACCGCTAAGGTTCTATCTGATGTCTGTCTCCTGCGGCGGCTACATGGCTACTTCTTCTTCTGACTACTCTTTCATCCTCTAGCTACTTGGAATCCCTGCCTTGCTCTGCTGCAATAGGCCCAAAGGATCTTCTTTATTAACCAATGGTATTCACAGCATAAAAGGGGGCCTACCATTCACCTCCCCTTTTCTGAATAAATTAAAAGGAAGGTTTTAACATTAACATAGTAAAATTACATATACAAAACAAGTATCAAGCAAAAATTAGTTACTACATTTATATCTACTTTATCTTTTATCATATCTAAGGAAAACTAGAATTATAACAATCTATTCTTCAACTCCATCAAAGACTCTAGAAGGATACAATATTACCTAGGTAAACAGAAAGTATGTTGCAGGCAACTTCCAAAACTCTAAATTGACAGAGACATCTCACTACCTGGACAGTCACCCAAAGTTCTTATGCAACATTGGTGCATCCATCTTTAGCCTACAGGCCCATAGTATCCAGCATACTTTTCCATGAAGCAGAAAATTTCAAAGACAGTTCACCTATATTGACAGTTTGTCAGTAACTTTCTTCCGTGTCTACAGAATGTCTGACAGACTCTTTCATGAAATAGGAACCTTGAGGGACTATCTCACCTTCTTTAGGCAAAAAAATACAGCCATATTTTTTGTAGGTCTTGCATGTCCAGTTTATGCAGCATAACATCATGCAGTCCACTCCAAGAGCAGTTTCTTGCCCAAATGGCTAGCAAACTCTATAAGGAGCCTCTTTGATATCCATCATCTTCTTGAAGTAGATTGGTGCTGCCAGGAGCAGATATGTCTCATTATCATGAAAAGTCCGAAGTTCTTAAAACATTTTAA